TTGTAAGAGCCAGGATGTTGCAGTAAAAAACCAAGACTTACTAACTAACTGGCTTCTTTTACTGTAAGACCTGCTGGGTTGTTGTTTTTTTCTCTTTTTCATAAAGCCATTGACCTTTCCCCCTCCACCCCCCTTTTTTTGCAAACAGCTCCACTGAAGTCTGTTCCAGAGGGAAGAGGAGAAAACACATCAGTGAGGACAAAGAGCTGAGCACCACTTAGGGACAGAGCCTTCTAACACCAAACGCCCACAGAGAGTTGGAGCTGGGGATTGAGAGACACCAAGTCCCAGCCCACTCTGCGTTCCAATACTTTCTGCTCCAAGCAGAACTCCTTATCACTAAGTTCACCTTGAACTTGATGAAGCTGTAAGACTAGAGAAGAAATTCAGTCTTATGGTTAGGGCACAGGAGCCAGGAAGTTTGATTTCTATTCCTGATTTTTTTCTGCAGGTTTGTGAAAATCCCTCCTGTTTGCAAAGTGTTTCAAGCTCTTCACATTGCTTTAAGAGAACAGAGCAGTGCTCTTATGTGTTTTCAGCTCTCAGTACTGGAAACAGAGTTTGATTTATTGACACAGCATTTCCCTATACACAGCATTTCCCTAAATCAGGAGACAACTATTACAAGGTAGAACTCAGGAAAACCTGGAAATACAGAGCCTTTTCTCTGGTAAATTGAGCATGGTCCATTCTACTGAATTTGCTCTTTTTCTCTTCATAGAATCACGGAACAGTTTGAGATGGAAGGGACCTTTTAAAGGTCATTGATTCCAACCCCTCTGCCATGAGCAGGGACACCTTCCACTATGCCAGGTTGCTCCAAAGCCCATCCAACTTGGCCTTGAACAATTCCAGGGATGGGGCAGTTCTCTCGTGTCTTTTCGATATGAAAGACAAAGATGAGATGATATTTAAGGTCACTTCAACCCAAACCATTCTAGGATTTTATGATTCTCTGTGGTAGGGTTTTTTTGCTGGCTGGAGCCCTTTTGGTGTGGTCTGGTCATGCCCTATTGTGAATTTCTCTCACTCTCCAAAATTGGATAGCTAGATCCCAGTTGCCATTTGGATATTATTCATCCATCCATCTCTTTATCTCTACCAGGCTACACCAACAAATTAAACAGCAGCAGACACCTGCACAAGGCAGGAGAACTCAATCCATCTATAGTCAACAAGGTA